CGTCTCTCCATTGGCAGTGTTTTATTGTCAAACAACGCTCCCGTGTAGGGTTGTGACGCGTGGTTTGGGAATAGGCGGCTGACATGGAGCTGACTCAGAGGGGACAGATGTGGTGAAGTCGATTGACACCCCTCTTGATGGTGTCGGTTGGGTCATATGGCGTTCATCGGTAGCTGCAGTAGAAACCATCTCACTGGCATCCAAATGAGTTTGTGCGTCAAGTGAGAAAGGCTGTTGTTGTGGGTTGCAATGCGGCCAATATGCAATAACTTAGTTGAGTTTGCAGAGACTGGCAAAATCCACGCTGACGTTGACAGTGCGTTGCTTAGTCTCAACAGATGCACATTCGTGCACCTGCTTGGCACTCGCCCCTTTGGCCCCACCAAAATGCACTTCCTCCTTTTTTCGCTTCCCTTTGAACAGTTAAAGAGGACTTGATGGTGTAGTCCACACCCTTGGAATAAGTTTTGGTGGTGGTGGTGGTGGTGACCACGTGTCACAAGGTACGAGCAACTTGACGAAACACCGTACATCCCGAATGAGGAAAGTCGGCGTCACCCATCGAGTGATAGTTGCTTGGTGAGAGTTGGGCAATAGACTGCTCGTCAGTATCCATGGCTAATCAACTCCTTTTCCTTTGAGGCAATGCAACTTAGATGATGCAAAATTGCTGTGGCCTCTGTCGCTGTTCACTTTCAAGTGCTGCCGATGGCTCAGTGTGCTGAACTCTTCCAATTTTATTACAATTGAACTCGAATTTCGATTAAAGTTTTGAAAGAAGGAGCTTTTACTTTCCAGCTAGAAGGTCATTACCCCTCTAATTGTTCTTCGTATGGTCCTTATCTGCAATTCAATGGGAGCTCTACCTTAGACTCGATAAATGTGGACGGTGTACACTGATCTACTTACTCAACAATGGAAGTGGGAAACTTCCATACCACAGCTACTTCGCTACTGTTGGAGGTCTTCCCAAGCTCTCGTTGATGGGGCAAGAGTTGTGCCGTTGTGGGATGGCAGAAAGATCGCCTGATACAGACTACTGCGGAAGAGGTGAGGTCTTGTTCATTCCCCTTGCAGTGGATAACATGGCAGCAAAAAATATGGTCCTGCCAATGACTTTCCAACAGTTCACTGTGAAGAGGGACGTATCGAATGGCATTTTTGCTTAACCACTGATTTTCATGTTTTATTTGCAAACATTGACCAAGGTGAGGCAATCATTTGTGCAAGTGAATTTTACGTGTCATTCGTCGGCGTCTACTCAACAATTGCACGATTTAAGTAACATCACCGTGGTGTTGGAACGGCAAGAAAGTCAACTAAAAGGTGAAAATGCAAGTTAATCACTTAGCAACGAAGTCAGGTAATTCAAAATAATTGGCGGCTTGGGATGCAGTGCGATTAAAAATGGACGTTGAAAAAATAATGGCGATCTGCAAGAAACATTCACTTGTCGATGTATACAGTAGAGGGCTGATGGGTGTTTCCTATGTCCCTTCTTCGCTACTACGATCCCTCGTTCCAGATGCTCAAATGCGTGTTTCATTCTAGTCAAGAGTACACTTTTAGTCTGGCCTGGCACTGTCCCAGGAATGACAAAAATTCTCTTTAAAGTTCTTTTGCGAATTTTAAGAATAAGCACAACATAATTTGTCATGCTTAAGAGATTGCTTATTTTGCATGTTCTTTTTTGCTCACGAAGGTTTGCAAATGCAGCTTCATTGAGCATTTTGCATTTTTAAGTCGAGACAACTCAACAGGGTACAGTTGGAGCTCCTTCAATATTCTTTATTTCACAGAGTGATGGAGGATGCCATTCCACCAATCTCTTAATAAAAAATTGAATGCTAAAACAAATTTGTGGTTTAATGCAAAAAGGGGGAGAGGAGATGCTCTGTCATCAGTAAGTATGCTCATCCAAAATCACTCTAACAGTATTCGACCGTAGCGAAACAAAAGCCACCATGACGGAGATGTCCTGAAACTTTTGGTAGACCAAGCTATCGAAGTACTGTTTCCCAACTCCTTAGCCCTTAAATATTTTCATTAATACGCCCATATTAATCTTCGATGGAACATTTATCAACGCAAAAAATGCCCTTAAGCAAAGATTAAAAACAAAAAGGCCCATGTCTACTTCGTTTAACACTAACCCACCATACTTTTAAACTAACACACACGTTACTTATATTTAAAAGTAGCCAGTAATTTATAAAAATTTAAAAGTATGTGATGTTGCCTCCTGTCCGGTTGTCGCGACCACGTACCTAGGACACAAACTTGACTTTATAAATTCGAACAACTAATGAAAAAAAATTAATGCTACACATTAAATAACTGCTAAAGAACAAAATGAGTACACTTCAAAGTCGCAGTTTTATGCTTGTAAGTGGGAAAGATTTGAAACAGCGCACTAAATGCATAGAAAACTCGATAAACCGCATTTGTGACAGCAGCAAGTAAACTCTGGCCCAAAATTGTTATTTTTTGAACTGCATGGAAGAAGGCGGGCGAGATACGTCATACTTTTTTCGGGAGGATTTGCTGCCCAAGACGCCCACGGAAAGATGAGGGTCGCTTACCACTAACGCGACCCGTAAAGCAGACATAGAAGATTTCCTTCTCTCGGTTTTATCAACACTTTGTAAATGAGGATTCAAGATAGGAGACAAGTAGTTTCAAGTCGATTAAACTTCCGCCTTGAAGCTGATTCAATGCAAAACTTTTGGCCTTGATCGGTTTTAATTCACTCCCACAGGGGATTGGCTTTTAACCCACTACAGCCATCTTAAGTCCTGTTGTGCATTTGTTGTCTTCTGCCATCTCCCAGAGAGGCTTAAATATATCAAAAGACAATTTTAATGGACCAATTTTAATTTTACTGTTAATTGTTATACCCTAGCATGGGGAAAGATTTGTATATTGCTGTGAATTGAGAAGATGAAACGATCCCTTTCAGAAGAGTAAATATGACGAGTGCCTTTGAAGACTGCTGCATTCCCGTGCTCCTTTAGGGAACGCATTAACAATGGGAGCGGCACTGGCCTCGTTTGCACAACGAAGTCAATTACGGGAAAAAGAAGGCAACAGTTTTGCAATTCACAATGCTCAGTAGACGTAGAGTGGCTACACTGCTAAACAACTGTGAAGTGAGAACCAAGTGGCAGACCTGTGTCAGCCTTCCCCAAATTCATCCAATTGCTCTTTCCTTTGTATTCGTCTTACCACCGAGGATCATCATAGCTCACCCCTTCTGGTGCATCTAACAAACGGGACAAACATTCAAATTGAGAAAAATTGTAATTAGCAAGACAGATCAACAACGTTGCTGCTGCTTTAAAAGCCTCGCGATGCCTAGTGCACAACATCACCGACTTGATGACCGATGGGTACGAGACGTTGACGTCGTAGCACTTTTGGTAATTACAAGTCGCTTAAGATTTCACCGCCCACACCTTCTGCAATCGTTCTGAATGTCCAACACACCGGTAGATTTACACTTTGCGTTGCGTAAAGAATGCCGATTTTGGTGGGGACTCTCCTCTTCCTCACTTGGAAGATGTATTATGCAGTTCAACAAGTTGCAATGAGGGTTATATAGGGTTGAAAAAAGGGCCTCAAAGAAATGACATTTTGACTGGTCGTAGCTGACCTAAGGAGCATTGATAATAAGAAGTTTTCAGTCTTATTTTTACTACTCAAAAATACCTTAGCAACTGCTAAGTGTCCAGGCTTTCTGTTGTAAAACAGCAAATTCTCCGAGATTGTGTAAAGCAAAAACAAAGTCCTCTACTCGGCAGCAATCGGCAGGCTTTAAGTTGTGCATCATTCAAAGGGCGGCCTCTCGTCAAGGAAACAACAAACGAGAGAACTTGCATTAAGAATTGGAAAAAAAGGGGCCAAAATGAGTTTCCCGCCTCAAAATGGGCATTTGCTTCAGTATTGTCCTCCTCGTCAGCGTGGCGTGTGGGAGGTAGGACGACATTTGCTTTGGTTGCGTACGATGGAAGTCGGTGAAAGGAGTGACGAAGCGCTTAAAACGTTCCCCCAAGTGGTGGTATTCCTTAAACATTTTACCCATACTGTGGCATGCAAATGAGAATGGAAACGGAAAGGTGAGACCCCCAAACAACCGTCGTCGTCTACGTCTCCATATGCCCCAACAAGTTGCCTCTGTGGACAAGTTATCAGTTTTCAGAAGTAATAGAACTTCAAACGAATCAAAACAACAGGAAAGCAAAAAAAATGCTACTTTGGTTATTTTTTTCAACCCTGTTATTCACTGAGTATTTAAACAAATTGGCTCATCGCGTGTTGCCAATGGCTACGGCTATTCAAGTTGGTGTGCATGGTGGAGGACAAATTGAAATAAATTTTGATGCTTATTTGGCGTGCTAACCAAAGGTCTATTTGTTGGCTAATTTAATAGCCCTTTTTCCTCCTCCTCCTCCTCCTCCTCCTCCTCCAAAGTCGTTCGCACAGAATGTTAAACCGACGGCGAAGCAAAAAAAGTGTCTTGTAGACATCGGCGGTGGGAAATAAAGTCACCTAAATAAATGAAGGCGTCGTCCTCACTACTCAAGTCAAAACCTCTTCCCACATAACACACATCACTAGAAATCATGATAATTACGTGGTATTGTGTTCTTCTTTTTTTAATGGAAATATTCACATTGCTGCAGCACTCCCTTCAAAGGGCCTAGCGTCTGCTTTGACCTCCTGGCCTAGTTGGAGCAAATCAGCATCTAACACGGTGTACAACCTGATTGTTGTTGGGAGGGCCACTTGTGATAACTCCCTTACAAAGGGTAACCCAGGTGTCACCGGATTAGTCCTCTCAAAGGCTCCACAATTTGCACTTTTGAAGTGCCACCACAAGGACACGCAGAAACCACAGTGTATTTTACTGTAATGACAAAACGAGACACGCAGACATGCATAATAAAACCACATTTAAGAGGTTAAAAAGGAATGCTTGTGAGGGACCACTGCTGACAGCCTCACATCGTGTCCGACCACCTCCGTCCACTTGCAGTGTTGTAATTGGGGAATGCAGTGAAGAAGGGTCGTTTGTCCAATTGGTCAGCACTTTCAATGCCATGACGACTGCGATAGACCTTTTTCAAGAAGGCTATCCATGAGGGGTAGGGATTGAAGAAGGGACGTCGCCATCGTGGAAACACCTCATCATTCGCTTCCTCGCTATAGTCCACCGGTCTGGCGTTGGTGGTGGACATGAGGATCATGCAGATCACCAAAAGTGTACACAGGAAACACGTCATCATTCTCATCCTACAATTCACAAGCACAACTTTTTACGTAGATAGTAAGGCGTACTCCCTTCTATAAGGCACTATTCATACAAAATTTTGGCCAATTAAATGATGGTTTAAAAATTTTGACGGCAAAAAGTCGTCACCGCATAACAAGTAAGGTTGTTGTGCAGGCCATTTGGGTGTTGAGCATAAAACTCTCCACTCGGTAAGTAGATAACGATTTTCCTCCCTTTTTTCCCCGCTTACGTGGAGGCTTAGTGATGCCAAAGGCGAAAGGTCTTCATGCATCAGATAAAGGGAGAAAAAGATTTGGAAAGTTTCCTTCTAATAAGGCCTTCTTTTGGGAGTGGGGAGAGGGAGGAGAGGGAAGTGAAGCAAAAAATTAACTTTCCCGTCGCATGAGGTATGTTTCATGGCTATTTGTGTAGGCGTGGGTGGATAGGGAGCTTTGATAAATCAGTAAAGCAATCACACGGTAAAAATGAGGCAAATGGATTGCATCTCCTACCTTCCCATTGTAGAAAGTGTTTAGTTTGATTAGCGGTGCTAAAAACGAAAGCGTGGGGAGAAAAAGAAATGGTCTTGCTGTCTCCCACTTTTGCCCGATTGGTCCAAATTTTTCAAAACTTTAATGTTTGTTTGTTTGTTTGTTTGTTTGTTTGTTTGTTTGTTTTTGGAATAAAACCGTCATCTCACCTCTAAAGGCTCTGAACAGCAGACATTTGTCTTTCAATGGTGACTAGTAAACAAATGCCGGTCTAAATCGAAGTTGCACGGAATTAATTCTAGTTTATGCCACAATCTAAAAGTGAACTTTACTTTTTCTGCTGCAGAGACAAAAGTGGATTTGTGTTGGTCGTAAAGGCCCCATTTTTTCGTCTTCAGCGGTAAAGTTTACATGGCTGCAGCTCACATACTTTCTGGACTCCTATTTTTTAAGCGGATGTCAAAAGTGGAAAACTCTATCCAATGTCTCAAGTAGGACAAAATACATTAATTTAAAATCCTTGCCCAAAAGGTCACGCGATACTACTAACTGACGCGTAAGTAGTTCCGTTGACAAAAAGAAGTGCAGATCACGTTTACACCTCTTCAACTAAAATAATTTGGTGTATAAACAAAAAAGGGGAGTGGGACGTGACAAATAAATATCGTTTTGACTGTTCGTCACCCGTTCAAGGCTGCATACGGAATCAGAGTTGACAACAGTAAATCTTCGTAGGAAATGGTTTTTAGTTAAGTGAAACGGAAGGAAACCCGATTATGGCTAAAGCTCTTGCATTACCATTGAGCCAAAATAACTCTTTAAAGTAACAAAATCCTCTGAATTTACCACAATATCGCAGTATTAAGCGTACTTTGTAAAAATGGATTTCGCCCGTTTTTAAGAAGTTCACTAACTACGGAATTAAAATCACTCACCCCTTTTGGAACTCTTACAGACGAACTATAACCAAGGAGGACAAAGTACTTTCATTTAAGGCATTGTTTACTCCGTGCATTGGTTGGCTGGATTGATCTGAGCCAACGGAAATGCAGCGAACTCTGGCTAGCAGACGTGTCACCTTTAACATCAATAAACTATAAGAATGCTACTTATATCTGTAAGTAGTTTATTAACACTAATTGTGTTTTTCTGTCGAACTGGTTAGTGAGTTATTTAATCAAAAAAAAAATGAAACACTCAACACCTTCTTCACAGATTTTATTACTGGTTTTTTATTTAGGAGAGAAAAAAAGCTTTGACCTATGGCAGCGTTAGCTGAGCAGCGCCCAACGGTCAATTTGGCATCGCTAATGCATGTGAATGAGATGCGAGAAAAGTAATCCTCCAAATGTCTGTTGCTGGTTGGTAATGCCTCTTGTAGTGCCCGATGCCTTCCTGCTTTGGCAACAGAAGGCCTAAGATCCGGCAAATTAGTAGTACTTAAAGGCACAACTATGAGTGTTGCATTAGCACGGTCCCAGGGGGTAGTAGTAGTCAAATGAACAAGGCATTACACCTCCAAACAATGACATGCGTTTTAGTGTTCTTGTTTTTAAGCGAGGTTATTTAAGTAGGCCATACGATGAGTTGAAGCAACTCCTCCTGTGTGTTTAATTAACCAGCACCAGCAGTAATAAAATTCGGGCACTCTTTTGGCCCCAGTTTAGCATTCAAAATTGCATCATAAACTCATGTTTCACAAACCCCGGGGGGAGGCAAGACAGCAACGCCTTTTACTGCCTCCGGACACGCGACATGAATAGAACCATAGCCACAACCCTGAATTCCTCACTTTCCTCCCATCCCACAAAACTGACATCGAAACCATTCATTTTACTTCCTCACTGATTTACTTACGCCAAAAAATGCCATTTTATGAAGGTGAGCGGAGAAGTTTGCACTCCCTTAGTAGACCAGAAGTGTAGCCCTCGAGAGTGTTGGACGAAAATCTGCAAGTTTTTGGAGTGAATTTCACATAGGCTGAAGCACGGATGCCCACAGCTCAGGAGGCTTAAGACTGCTAGCACAGTATTTGCACGTTGGCTTTTAGTTGCCATGGCAACAGCACCACGTCATCAAATAGAAAATGATGAATGCATTTGTTTCACCAATTCCTACTGTCTGGCCTTACAAAAGCAACTTCCTAGAAGCTCCAGTCTTCT